TGATTTTAAACTTAATTCCTTTGTGATCAGAAAACATCTTGTATAACTTGGATCCTTCTGAGGGTATTGAGGTTTGTTTCTTTCATGGTCCAGAATAGTCTATCTCTGCTCTGTGCACAATCGGGAAGCATGTGTATCCCGCTGTTGTTGGGTCTAGTGTTCTATACACATCAGTCAGGCCAAAGTGGTTGGTAGTGTTTTCCAAGTCTATATCTTTGCTGATGTTCTGCCTACTTGTCCTATTAATTATTGAGAGAAGGGTGTGCTGGTTCCTTTTTTTGTGTCTCCTTGGCTAGGTTATGGTACCCATTTGCTAGGTCAAACATCAGCCTAGATGTTGCTGAGGTCATTTTTAGATGTGATTAACATTTAAGTAAGTTGACTTTGAGTGAAGCTGATTGCCCTCCATACCGTGGGCGGGCCTCATCCAATCAGCTAAAGGACTTGAGGAGAAAACAGGCTGATGTCCTCGAAGGAAGAAGGAACTCTACCTCCAGACTGCCTTTGGGTCTTCATCTGCAACATCAACTCTTCCCTGGGTCTCCAGGCTGCCTGCCTGCCCTGAAGACTTGCCAGCTCCCACAATCATGTGAGCCAATTCCTTAAAATCAATCCCTCTCTATATCTCTGGAAACCTTGACTGATGCAAGGAGTACTGAAATATTCTCCAACTATAATTGTGGATTTATCAATTTCTCCATGAAGTTCTATCCATTTTTGCTTCATGTATTTTGAAGCTCTGTTATTAGGTGCATAAATGTTTCGGATTGTTATGTCTTCTTGATTAATTCGAAACTTTTATCATTATGAAGTGACATTTATCCCTCGTAACATTCCTTGCTCTTAAATTGACTTTGATAATAATATAGCCAATTCTACATTCTTTTTGTTCTTTTGCAATTTTGGGGGGGGGGCCACACCCCTTGGCTTGTGGGAATCTTAGTTCCCCGACCAGGGATTGAACCCGGACCCTCAGCAGTGAGAGTGTGGAATCCTAACCACTGAACCACAAGGGAAGTCCCCAAATCTACCTTCTTTTGACTAGTATTGACATGCTATATCTTGCCATTTCCTGTATTTGGTCTTCATACTTAAAGCACATTTCTTGAAGCCAGCATATTTTGGGGTCAACTTTTTTCTCTGACAATCTGTGACTTTTTTTTTTTTTTGGCTGTGCCACCACACAGTAAGCGGGATCTTAGTTTCCCACCAACCAGTTATCAAACCCAGGCCCTTGGCAGTGAGAGCATAGAGTTGTAACCACTGGACCGCCAGGGAAGCCCAACAATCTCCGACTTTTAATTGAGGTACTTATACCAGTAACATTTAATGTAATTTTTACTTTTTTTCTCCCTTTCTAAATATTTATTTTATTTATGTTTTATTTAATGTTATTTTTAATATGGTGATATTTGAGTCTATCATCTTGCTATTTATATGCTACTCACTCCATCTTACCCTTTTCTCTCTTTTCCTGCCTTCTTTTGGAGTAATTGAGTATTTTATTTATTTATTTATTTGGTTGTGCCTGGTCTTAGTTGCGGCTTGCTGGCTCCTTAGTTGTGGCATGTGAACTCTTAGTTGTAGCATGCATGTGGGTCAGTTCCCTGACTAGGGATTGAACCCATGTCCCCTGCATTGGCAGGCAGATTCTTTTTCTTCTTTTTTTTTTTTTTTTGGCAGGTGGATTCTTAACCACTGCACCACCAGGGAAGTCCCTGTAAGTGTGTTTTGACATTTTGTTTGTCAGCTACTTTAGGACTTAGAGTACATGTCTAACTTGTTACAGTCTATCTTCACTTGATATTATAGGACTTTATGGGTAGTATAAGAACCTCACAATAGTGTTATACGTTTCCATTTCTCCCCTTCCTGCCTTTAGGCTATTTTTTTGTTTGTTTTGTTTTGGTTTTGGTTTGGTCTTTTTTGCGGTACGCGGGCCTCTCACTGTTGTGGCCTCTCCCGTTGCGGAGTACAGGCTCCGGACGCGCAGGCTCAGCGGTCATGGCTCACAGGCCCAGCTGATCCGCGGCATGTGGGATCTTCCCGGACCGGGGCACGAACCCGTGTCCCCTGCATCGGCAGGTGGACTCTCAACCACTGCGCCACCAGGGAAGCCCACTGCTATGATTTTTTTTTTTTTTGCGGTACGCGGGCCTCTCACTGCTGTGGCCTCTCCCGCTGCGGAGCACAGGCTCCGGACGCGCAGGCTCAGCGGCCATGGCTCACGGGCCTAGCCGCTCCGCGACATGTGGGATCTTCCTGGACCGAGGCACGAACCCGTGTCCCCTGCATCGGCAGGCGGACTCCCAACCACTGCGCCACCAGGAAAGCCCCACTGCTATGATTTTTGATTAAGCAAGGCTGAGAGCTGAGGACCATTGGTCAGCAGCATTCCCAGCTGCAGGAGGAATAGGTCCTTCAGTCCTCAAGGAGGAATCTGAGCAGCATATCTTCCGTGTCATGAAATAAGACTAAGACTTTTAATTGAGGTTTGTTTTTTTTTTTTTTTTGCGGTACGCGGGCCTCTCACCGCTGCCGCCTCTCCCGTCGCGGAGCACAGGCTCCGGACGCGCAGGCTCAGCGGCCATGGCTCACGGGCCCAGCCGCTCCGCGGCACGCGGGATCCTCCCAGACCGGGGCACGAACCCGCGTTCCCCGCATCGGCAGGCGGACTCCCAACCACTGCGCCACCAGGGAAGCCCTAACTGAGGTATTTATACCAGTAAAGTCAGTCTGAAAAAGCTGGGTTGGAAAATTGTTCAACACATCGTCTTAGACCATTGGGGATGCTCTAACAATTACCATGGACTGGGTGGCTTAACCACCAATTTGCTTTTCACAGTTCTGGAGGCTGGAAGTCTGAGGTCAGCGTGCCACCATGGTCAAGTTCTGATGAGGAACCTCCTCCAGGTTTCAAACAGCTGACTTCTCCTGTGTCCTCACGTGGTAGAAGGGGAGAGGGAGATTTCTGGGGTCCCTTTATAAAGGCGTTAATCTCACTAGTGAGGGCTGTACCCTCATGACCTAATTGCCTCCCAAAGGCCCTGCCTCCTAACTTATCACATTGGGGATTTGATTTCAGCTTACAAATGTTGTGGGGTCACAAACATTCAATCTATCACACACATCATGTTTATTATTGAGTTGACTTGGGCCATATGTCACACAAATTCATACAAACATCAGAGTCTTCTAACCTGATGTTTATTCTATCTAAACCAAAGCTTGAAACAAGTAAAATGTAACTTTAGAGAAAGGATCCTAATCCATTTTGCCCAAGAACCTGTTGATCATATGGCAAAGTCACAATCAGAACGTTTATAATTATATAGCACATAAACACCATCAAGTGCCAGTGGTCATCAGTTGTAACGGAGGAAGCATTGTCAACTTCTCTGCACTTTCTGGGGACTTCATTTCTTCTCTAACATAAAACATGCTGTAGGGACTTCCCTGGTGGTGCAGTGGTTAAGAATCCGCCTGCCAAAGCAGGGGACATGGGTTCGAGCCCTGGTCTGGGAAGACCCCACATGCTGCAGAGCAACTAAGCCCGTGCGCCACAACTACGGAGCCTGCACTCTAGAGCCGGCTAGCCACAACTACTGAAGCCTGCGCGCTCTAGGGCCCGTACTCTGCAACAAGAGAAGCCATCGCAACGAAGAGTAGCCCCCGCTCACTGCAACTAGAGAAAGCCCGCTTGCAGCAACGAAGAACCAATGCAGCCAAATAAAACAACAAAAACGTGCTGTAGAGGAGAGGACTTGGGATATTGCAGAGACAGCATCATATAGAGAGAAAAAGAGTGAGAGAAGTAGTATCAGGGAAGAGAGATAACACATTATGGCTTGGTCCAATAGTAACAATAATAATAATTTAAATACATAAAAATATTTATATAATTTATTAATAAATAGCTATTGCTTTATCAGTGGATGATAACATTTACTATATTATATAATATATAATTTAATTATATATTATATTGTTTTAAGAATATATTACCAACCTATACTATATTAATTATGGTAGTTTTATTATTTAACAGAATATTATTAACGTAAATCAATATATTAATATTACTAATAAATACACATTATCATTAAAACAATTTTACTAGGTATATAATGGACTATACACTTATTAATGTGTTAATAAATAATACTGGTTATTATTATTGTTTTATTGGCAAAGCTATGTTTTGGGCGTGGCGCTGAATATACCGTATTTCCTCCCTTATTTAAGAAAAGGCCGCTCATGTGTTGTAGTTTTTCTTAGGACAGGGCCGAAAGTAAGCTCATCACACGAGACGAATTGTGCCGAAACACAGAAGTAGAAGGCTGCCGCTGGCTCAGGCAAAACAGCGCCGTCTGTCCTGCTGTGGTAGCTTTTATTTAAGCATTATCTATGTTTACATTTTAAGACTTGTTTTCTTAACATTCCAGAAGTGCCAAAGCAGCAACATATGCTTTTATTGATTATACAAGCAATAATGGGCTTTCTTGAAAACATGCCGTGCTTCGTCCTTGAGCGCAAAAGCAGCACAGGGACATTGCCTTGTGTTTCCACCATTCTGATTATACTGAGGACATCTCATGGATCAGTGCCCAAAGCACTCAATGCTTATTCGCAGGTCCCCGGTTTGCCGGGGGCGCTCAAAGCAATCAGGACTGTTTGCAGTTCTGGCTTATCCGCCGGCCCCCAGTTTGCTGGCGGGGGGGGGGGGCTCATGGGTCACGTCTCCTTTCCATGTCCTCAGTTATTCCACTACACTCATGCGCCTGAACTTCTCAGGGAGCGCGCGTGTGCGCCTGGGACCGGAGGAAGTGCTCAGCTGCAGGAGGCATCTCAGTCCTGCGGAGACACCGCCCGCCCTCAGAGAGCGCTGTGACTCAACTCGCTGCCCCCGGAGGGACGGGGACCCTGGGTCGCGCCCGGAGCCTTCTGGGACTTGTAGTTCACGGCCTCGTGGCGCGCAGGCGCACTGCCGGGTCCGTCCTGGGCGCGCGTCCGGGGGTGGCGGCAGCGGAGTGAGTTAACTGGGGCGCCAACGGGGGGCGCGGGCGGGCGGATGGGGTACTGACGGGTATCCGGGACGCGCTGCACCGAGGGCCTCCGCCGCGGTGGGACCCGGCGGCGCCGGAGCGCTCCCCCACACCTGGGGCCGCAGCACCCGGGCAGCGTTTGTCCGGGCCGCGCAGCCGCGCTGGGATGCGGACCCCGAGCCTGGCCCCCGCTCCTGTGCGGGTAGTTAGGCGGGCGGGGGTTTGGACGGGGTCTGGGGCGGGGTCCCGGGCGGGAGGGGTGGCCTGGGGTGTTCCCCTTGGGTTTGCTCCACCCGTCACTCTGCAGGCGGCAAAAGAGAGGCAGAGAGGTCGAGCAGCTTGCCCGAGGCCGCCCAGCACCCAGAATGGCAAAGTCCGAGCCCTACCCTGTGGAAGTGCCCCTGGATGACAGGTCCATGGGGCAAACTGTCGTGAAGTAAACGGAGTTTCCAGAGGCCGGACGTTACAGGGAAACGAGGTAAACCGAACGCCCGGAATCCAGGGTGTAGACTTATTGGGCACTTGGGCTAACCCAGGGGTCCTCACCTGGGGTGGTTCTGCCCCCCGGCGGACACGGGGCGGTGTCTGGGGACATCTGTGGTTATCATGACTGGGGGGTCTCCTGACATTGAGTGGGTGGGGGCCTGGGATGCTGCTCAACACCCTACAGCGCCCAGGATGGACCCTCAGAGAACGATCCAGACCCAGGTCGCCCGTGCCAAGGGGTCTTACACCTTAGCACTGTGATTCTAGTGATAAGGTATCAAGAGTCCACTCCATTGATTCCTGACACACCTGCTCAGGAATGAGCTGACCATTCTGCCAATGTCCCAGCAACAAGCTCACCGACCTCTCCCCTTCCCTGGGGTTGATTGCACTTTTCCCTGCCAGGAAGTCCTCATCAGCCCTTTCTTGTGGAGAAAGGATGAGTTTCAGTGGTTTGAAAACTGAAAGGGAAGACCCTGAACCAGGTGCCACAGGCCTGGGTGAATGAGGGTCCAACGGGATCACTGACATCAACCACGAGGGAGGGAGGGTCCTGCGAACCACCCAAGGGTGGGAGAGGATTGGTCTGGAAGACCTAGGAAAGGACGGGGGTCCTGGACCCATTGCCATCAGCTGCAATTTAAAGTCCCAAGAGCAGAGAGATCAGGGTGTCACAGGGCTCTGCTCCCTCTGAAGGCTCCAGGGGAGGGTCCTTCCTGCCTCTTCCAGCCTCTGGTGGTGGCCGTCATGCATCACTCCAGTCTCTGCCTCTGTAGTCACATGGCCTTCTCCCTGTGTGTCTGTCTCTCTTTTAAGGACACCAGTCATATATCGCATTAGGACACCCTCTGCCCCAGTATGACTTCATCTTAACTAATTACATCTGCTAACAGCCTGTTTGCAAATAAGTTCCAATAGTAATAGGGTCAGGACTGGAATGTATCTTTTAGGGGACGTGATTCAGCGCATGACAGTCTTAGCAGCAGATGTTCCCCCTAGGTAAAGTATTCTGTGTCCTCGAGGTGCATCTGGTGCAGTTTGGGGGCATGGCTCGGCGCAGCATTGTGCGCCCACAGTTCCCAGCACCCACGTGGAATGAGTCAGAGCCAGCTCTCGGGAAGAGAATTTGCATCAAATCCCCTCTGGTCCCTCGGAAGCTTAGCGAAAGCTGCTGTCATTTTTAGATTTTTAAACTTTTCTATTTTATCTCGATTTTATTTCGAGAAGCTGACTGCACATCACGTTTTCCTTGATACTTTTCATAATTCCAGGTCCTTGCTGGAGATAACCGTGATATCGTTTGGTGTCTATCCTTGCTGGCTTTTTGCTGTATATTTACACGTGTGTGTGTGTGTGTGTGTATAGTTAGATTATGTCTAACTCTGGAGCATTCCATCACCCCAAAAAGAAACCCCGTCCCCATCAACAGCCATTCCCCTCCCCCTCCCCAGCCCCTGACAACCAGGAACCCACTCTCTGTGTCTGTGGATTGGCTTGTTCTGGACATTTCCCATTGATGGAATCACACACTGTGTGTCCTTCTGTGTCTGGCTTCTCTCACAGAGCGTCATGTTCTCAAGGTCCATCCACATTGTAGCGAGTGTCAGGGCTTCTCTCCTTATGGCCGAATAATCTTTCATTGTGTGGATGTGCCTTATGGGGATTATCCATTCCTCACTTGATGGACATTTGGGTTGTTTCCACCTTTCACCTGTTGTGGGTTATGCTGCTGTGAACATGGGTGTACAGGTTTTTGTGTGGATGTGTTTTTTTTTTTTTCTTTTCTTTTGAGTAGATACCTAGGAGTGGAACTGGGTCTTATGGCAACTCTAACCATTTGAGGAACTGCCAGACTGTTTTTCACAGTGGCTGCACCATTTTACATTCTCACTAGCAATGGGTGAGGGTGCCCTTGGCAACACTCATTATTGTCTGTCTTTTGGGGCTTTTTCTTGTTGTT